TAATCTTATTCTAAATTAATTTATATAAAAAAATATCTTTTGAAAAATTTGTCAATTTCGGCCCTTTTCTCAGATCATAGCCCATATTCTCATCTTTGCTTGTTGGGATCACATTCCAAATGCCATGCTTTAAACATTTTGTCTTTATTACAATGTATACTTTTTATCATATCTAGGTTACTACTTTAGTCATTGTCAAATATTATATATATTTTTTATATCCATTGTAATACTCACTCTGAAGGGTATTAGTTAGTAGCAAATAAGTGTTTTTAAACATGAATCATTTTTTTAATCCACCGATTAATAGATTATACTCGCCCACTAAATTAAAGTAAACGGTATTTATACGGTACATTATACGGCATACGGCATACGGAATTTATACGGCATGTGGCACTTCTACTTATATAGCAAATATGCCGTATTATCACTGGGGTAGCTACCTCCAAAATTCTAAATGTCTGCACTTCTATTGATCAGGATTCAGATTTAGTGAACCATCTTTCTCGCCCTATGAAAAAAACATTCTTGAACCTGTGCGACAAATGATATCTCCAAACTTACCAATAATTCGGGAGATGTGTAGAGAATTTGTGGTGAACTTTAATAGGAATCAAACTGAAAGTATACTAAGGCCATTAAAACATGATGATATTTGGAAAGAATATCCAGAAGTTCTTAAAGAGGTTACAAAGGAAATTCTCACCATTATAAAAGATATTTGGAACAATTTAGCCTTCGGACCTAATTTTGTCTATTTGTTAAATGAGGGTACCTATGTGTCGAATGTGGTGGATCATTGATACGTGCAACATTGAAAAACCCCCCTAATAAAATGTTCTCACGTAGGTTTTATAAATTGCAAGGTTTGAAGATTATACTCGTAAAGCAATTTTCTTTTCTCTTTTTTCTAGGTATAAATGTCAGAATAATGCTAGTAAGAAAGAAGAGGTGAGAACAAAACAGGCAGACGACTAGGCATAAAATCAATGGCTAAAAAAGGCTTGGCAGTTCCCTAGGAAAAGAAAAATAACATGTTCTGTCAAGCATCTGTTGAAGGTTCACATATGGAATGTTTGAAGTTCTACACAAAGGAAAAGTTTACAAACTTATGTATGGTGAATGTTCGCGTATATTTTGCACACCTAAAAAAGAGTTAGATGACAAAATCAAAATATGGAGACAAACGATAGATTGTACTGGACTCGTAAAGGGTGCAAACCAGAGAAAGAACAGTTTGGGATCATTGGAATTCAGATCGCAGGTACTATAATTTTATTTATTTTTATTTTCGAAAAAGAGATCATTCTAGATCATGATATGTATGAGGCAATTGTATTTAATCTTTGTAAAAATATTTTTTAAAAGATTTGTAAAACTTACTATACCAAGATATTATCGATTTAATGTGTCTTTTTTTAAGGTTCAAATGCTCGCTTATGTCTTGATTAATGATTCAAACCTTTTTATAGGACGTAAATTACATTTGAATGTTCTTACTAGAGGTACAGACAATATCCATCGATACTATCATTTACACAAGGCCGAGATTCCTGTAAGCCCAGTGAATGATTATAATTTAACTAATTTTGTAAAGGGCCTTTGACTTTATGGGTTCGTTATTCAGGTTACCAATTTTTTTGTATCAGTTATGAGTTAGCAACATACTTCATATATGGTACTCATGTTCTTATTTGTTTTATAGAATATTGTTATCGTTAACATGGCCTTACTATTTCATGCACCTATCTCTATATCTCATAGATAAGAACAAGCTCAACAGAATCAACACCATAAATAGGTCATTTCGTATATTATTATTTTTTTTGTATCAATAAAACTGTTCCTGGTGGCTGATTTCAGTCATACATAATCAGTTTACTTTCGAATGTGTATTTTGAGATTTTATTTTAATGTATTGATATTAATATGATCGAGAATTTTAAAAATTTTCTTGGTAAAAGTGACCGGCGAGTTCCGGACCAATGGTCAGGATGTTACCTGATTTTAATGCGTTTCTGGCCCGATAGCGATCTAATAGTTGTATTTAATAAAAAAATCTTGTAAAACTTTAATACAGAAATATAATCGTATCATGTAATAAAAGTTTCATGACGTCAATTAGCCTATTTGTTTTCAAGAGATTCGGTAAGTAAACTTTCAAATGTATTGCGAGATAAAATGGATTTTTGCAACTCAGTTATTTTTTTTAACATCCTAATAAACATAAAGAATGCAATTTTATTATTTATCTATTTTATTAATTCAATTATTAATTAATATTCGAACTTATTATAGCGTTTTGCAATAAGATGTTTTTGGAATATTTCTGAGATTTTAAGTTGTTTATTAGTTCATATTATTGCGCTTTGCAAAAAGATGTGACCTCAGCAGATCACAATGTCGTGTGAAAATCAGAGATTCTGTAGATTTTAAGAATTTTACCAATTTCAAATAAATATAAGCATAACTAATCGAAAATATGAATTGATAGACAATTTAGTATCTCAGAAATTTTCCTCGTTCATCATCACAAAAATCATGGGGGCACATCTTTTTGCAAAGCGCTATAAGATCATTTATGTTTATATTTGAAATCGATAATATTCTTAAAATCTACAAAATCTCTGATTCTCACACGACATCGTGATCTGCTAAGGTCACAAAGCGTAATTCTATTGCAACGTATACCGATTTGGAATCACAAAGATCTATCGAGTACAACAATTTGCGCATTGAACCCTTAATTAAGATTTAATGTGTATGCATAAGCAGTATTATAAGATAAGCCATTTAAGTTCAAATTAATCGATGGAATTTCTTATATCTTTGTCACGAGTCTTTCACTAACGATGAAAATCGAAAAACTGTTTTAGTAGTTCTCATTTATTATGGTCACGGATGATGCCGAAATTTGGACAATGCCAAATTACCATAAATCACCGTATACAAGGCCCGGATCTCTTACATTTCACTACTTTTAAAACCTATAATAGACCCGAGTCTAGTATACAGCTGAGAGTTCATATCATTAAGGGAAAAACTTCGAAGAGTATATACATTTTGCATATTATGATAGGCAGTCTAGATATTTGAAAAAATCCAGGTTTGATTAATATAGATCCCGTGATTCGCGCCCGGGTATATTTTCATGGGGTCTTGTATACGGTGATTTAATCTTATTAGTTAATTAGTGGTCGTTCGGTTGGTTTGATTGATTAGTTTTAGTATTTTTTGAATTCCAACATCTGCGATATTTACTGCAAAATCGCTGACCATTAAATCCTTTGGCGATTTGCGAGCTTAAATTTGATTTATACTTTGGAGAATATATGAGTGTAAACCTGTCATCAGACTTTCAATTATATTTTGTGTACAGTTAACTGTCTACGGAAAATCTATCATAATGATAAATCCATAGACGACTAACTGTACACAAAATATTAATTGAAAGTCCTATGACTGGTTTTCTTTTGACAGCACTCATAAAGAAATGCGCAACTCCTTCTGCACATTAATTTTAGACATTTCTAGTGGTGCAATAAAATTGTCCCAATGAATTTTTTTGATACGGTTACGAAAATCCCATTGTGCGTAACAATAATTGGTTGCGAACCTTTAATCATTGACGTAATTTTTAATTCATTGCGTTAGTGATGGGCTAAATTGATTAGATATTATTACTTATGTTGTTTTATATTTTTTGGTCTTTTCGTGAATAAATAATACGTAAAGTTTAAGATTGAAAATATATAATGAAATGATGGACACTTTTAAATTTACCTCTTAATACGTAAAAGATCTTATTTGTACATAACAATTGCCTTATAATCATATCTATATATATTATGAGTTTCATGTTTTATAGTCGGCCCGCCAGTGATATCATATGACTTGCATGACCTATATATGACTTGTATATTACAATATCTTATCTTATAATAGTTTCATAGAATAATAATATGACAAAATGATATATGATTCTATATTATATAACATATTATTTTATCATAAAGCAAATTATGATATTACCATTTGCCAACTCTGGCCCATGCAAGTCAACCAATGCTAACCATCGAGCCAAACTGCATATACAATTCTCAAATCGATGGTTGATTTGTTTTAGTTTACACACGGTTTTGTTTTTTACATAGAAAGAAAACTGATTAATCAGAGATTATAGGAACAAGTTTTTTGGATGGACCTGCAACCTGACCCGGAAACTTCTTCCCGGCTGTCGTAGACTTTTCCTGACGATTTTTTTTTTAAAAAAAGCGTGATTTTCACATTATCTATTAATTATGTGACTAAATAACTAATCAATGCTCATATTCACAATCATAACATATTAATTACGCAATAAAAAAGACTACGAATTACGTCAGATATATTTAATAGGGAAACTCTATTCAACTGGTTAAATTCACCTACGTACGTACGTATCGTTATATAGGGATGTTAAGTGGTCCACGGGGAACTAGTTTGGACCAGGTCCAAACCCGGACTTTTAAGGGACTAGTAGGAC